TCCCCACTAGCGACATCCCCAACCAGATACCAAATACCAGAAAGGTGTCTTTGATGCAATTGATGAACCCACATTGATGTATCATAATCACCTAAAGTCCGTTTATACTAGGGTTTACTCTTGGTAGTGTGCGTTCTGTGGGTTTAGACAAATGTGTGATGTCTTGTATCCATCATTATTACATCATAAAGACTGTTTTATCACTGCCCTAAAAGTCCTCTGTGCTTCACCTATTCATTGCCCTCCCCTCTAATCACTGGCAACCACTGATCTTTTTACTGTCTCCATAGTTTTACCTTTTTCAGAATGTCATGTAATTGGAATCATACAGAATTTAGCCTTCCCAGATTGACTTCTTTCACTTAGTAATATGCATTGAAGTTTCTTCTATGTCTTTTCACATCTTGATAGCTTTTTTTTAGCACTGAATAATATTCCTTTGTCTGGATATACCACAGTTTATTTATCCATTCACCTATTGAAGGGCCTCTTGGTTGCTCCCAAGTTTTGGCAATTATGAAAAAAGCCAGTATAAACATCTATGTACAGATTTTTGTGCAGATGTAAGTTTTCAACTTCTCTGGATAAATGCCAAGGAATGTAATTGCTGGATCATACCATAAGAGTACATTTAGTTTTGTAAGAAACCTCTAAACCATCTTCCAAAGTAGCTGTACCACTTTGTATTCCCAGCAGCTATATTTGGGAGTTCCTGTTGCTCCACATCTTCGCCAGCATTTGGTGTTGTCGGCGTGACCCTGTTTTTTGAACCTCTTTCTTAGCTCACTCATTTGTTTTGCCAGAGAACACCCTCAAATAGGTTTTAAAGGACATATGAAGGGTAAACTCCCTAGATCCTTTAGTGACTGAAAATGTCTTCATTGTATCCTTGCATTTAATCAATACATTGACTAAGTATAGAACTCGAAGATAAAATTAACTTTTCCTCTGGGGTTTGAAGATGTTTCTCTGTTCGAGCACTAATGTTTTTGAGAAGCCTGATGCCATGCTGATTTTTATTTTTCTGTAAATGATCTGTTTTTCCTCTCAGAGAGCATTTAGAATCTTGATTGTGTCACTGTGCTTTGAAATTTCAAAATAATATGTGACTTGAGCCAGGCATCATTAAAAAGCCCAGAAATGACAAATGCTGGAGAGGCTGTGGAGAAAGGAAGTCCTCCTACACTATTAGTGGGAATGCAGTTTGGTGCAGCCGTTAGGGAAAACAGTGTGGAGATTCCTCAGAATACTAACAGTAGGCTTACCATAGGACACAGCAATCCCACTCCTGGGCGTATATCCAGAGCGAACCTTACTTCAAGAAGATATATGCACCCCAGTGGTCACAGCAGCACTGTTCACAATAGCCAAGACATGGAAACAACCTAAGTGTCCATCAACAGATGACTGAATAAAGAAGCTTTGGTATATTTATACAATGGAATACTACTCAGCCATAGAAAGAATAAAATACTGTCATTTGCAGCAACTTGGATGGACCTGGAAATTATCATTCTAAGTGAAGTAAGCCAGAAAGAGAAAGAAAAATACTATATGATATCACTAATACATGGAATCAAAAAAAAAAAGGCAAATGAACTTACTTACAAAACAGAAACAGACTCACAGATATAGAAAACAAACATGGTTACCAGGGGGAAGGCAGTAGGAAGGGATAAGTTGGAAGTTCGAGATCTGCAGATTCTAACTACTATATATAAAATAAATAAACAACAAATTCATACTCTATAGCCCAGGGAATGATATTCAATATCTTGTGGTAACTTATGGTGAATATGAAAACGAATATATGTATGTTTATGTATGACTGAAGCATTGTACTGTACCCCAGAAATTGACACCACATTTTAAACTGACTATACATCAATAAATATATAGAGAGAGAGAGAGAAAGAGAGAGTGAGAGACAGAGACAAACTAAGCAATCAAAATCAGGTTGCAAAATGCCTTGCATATAGCTGGTGCCCAGTAAATATTTGATGTATTAACAAACAACTAAGAAGTAACTACTGACTCTTCAAAGATACAAACACTCAGAGAGAGCCTAATGTTTGGTTTGTGTTTTCAGATTGCTGAGACTTAATACATTTGAAGTCTTTGGGGGATAAACTCTGCTCTTTATTCCATGTTGCTTTCCTAGTAGATAGCCAGTTCTCAAAAAATAAAACCACTAAAAAATACAAGAGCATGGAGTGCATATAAAACAGGTGTCTGAGTCATTGTTCCATGCCTGGTGAGGCCCCTTAATCGAGTTTCCCTGGCGTGGGCAATCTTAACATCAAGTCACATTTAAATCTCTACAACTCTCTGAAGTCTACACCTGGACTTTCTGTGACTACAGCACCAACAATTAACCTGGACTGGAATTATTCTTATCTTTATTGGAGTTGTTTTTAATTCTGTTCAGATATGCAAAGACCTGTAATTATTCAGTGAGATAAAGTATGTAGAGACCGTGGATGCACAATAGACATTTTGTGAATTTTAGTTTCCTCTGTGTCATCTCCCCTAAGCCAATAGTTTCCCATGTTTATAAACAACAGACAAAAAGGATGAAGATTTCATTTTTTACAAAAATAATGTTAGCTTAAAGAAAGGGTTGTGTACTTTGACCATAGGAGTGATTGAACAACCAAGAGGACAGGCTATGGATAATTGTACAAATAGGACTGGCCGTTACCCTGCTTAAGAACTACGAACTAGAACTTCGAGGTAGTCAGTAGCATGGATTAAGGGTCCCACTGTGTCAGGAGCCCTGAATGAGATACTGTGCTGTTTTTGAAAGGAACAGCTACATGTGATTTCTTTTAAAAAGGTTTGCCAATAACAAGATAAGTTGTGATCAAGCAAAATTCGAATACCTAAAAAACACCAAGAGTAAACAAAATCCCATACACAGTAATTCATGGTGTTTGGGCTATGCTTTGCTGCAAATTGATGCTCACCTTGTGTAAGTGACTAGAATGATGCGTTTCTTGGAGGGTCTTAACAACCATAGTATCATACCCTCTGAAGGATTTAGTCCAGCAACTGTGAATCAGAAACCTGTCATTTCTTATCTTAGCTGCTAATGTTCTGTTTGCATCTGAGGTTATTATATAAGTAATACATGATAATGGCATCATCAAATACTCATTTAAAATGATATTTTTGTGTAAAAAGATTTTATTTTCATCATTAAAAAAATGGTACCTTTCTGCTTAGCCTCCTATTGGAGCATCTATAACCCTACTGAATGCGCTTGTTAAATTTCTCCTTTCGTACTTCACTAGAATTTGCTGGGGACAGAGATTGTGCTTTGTCTGTTTATTAAAAGTTCCTGGTAATGTGTAAAGCATAGTAGTGACTCAATACATTTTTTGAAATGAATAAATGAATGGATGATGGTGTATTCAATACTGTGCAAAGCTAGGATTCAGAGGAGTTACAAACATCTGTGGCACAAGGTGCAGCATATTGAATTATTACAGGAGAAAATCTGGTCGAGATCGTTTTTCAGTCTACATAGGTAGGTGCATTCTGGCACCTAAACTAGGTGGCTGTTGATTATCCAGTTCATAAGATAACAAAAATAAAATACAATGAAATCAGATATCCAGAGAGTCTGGGGCTGGTTTAGCCTGGTGGCCTTTTGCAGGGGCAATTTATTTTTACAGTGAAAAGAACACTGAATCTTCCCAGAATAACCTGATTCCAACAAAGTTAAATAAAGTTGTTCATGTATCCAGGTTTTTGACATACTTCTGTCTTTCTAGACCGTGAAGTTAATCTCCATTTCCCACAAGCCCCACTGCTGACTTTAATGATCCTGTCCACGTGACATACTTTTTTTTTTTGTTTCATTGCTATCAGTGAATGACAAGTGAGGGATATTCATTTTAACTTGAAAATGTCAGCTATGCACTTTAAGAGATATATTTTTGCAGCTTTTAATGAGGTGGTGTTTCTTTTTGAAAGAAATGCTCATCTCTGATGTGGGTGCTGTGCAGGTGACAACTGATATTTAATAAGCGATGGGTCTTGTATTAGTCTCGGTTCTCTAAAGAAAATGTCTCAGATTGCTTTTGAAAAACTCTTAGCGTCACTAGCCCAAAGGCAAGATGTGACCTTTTTATTACATAATGAGAATCATTTATTATCTTACAATGTATCTTAAAGTCACAGACAAAATGCCACTCTGATAATTGCTTTCAATTAGCTTTGAGCATAGCATATATTCATAAAATGTCTTCTCTAATTTAGACTTGAATTAGAGAAAATTGCAGACATAATCTACTTTAAGGTTGTCTCATTTAAGGTGATTCGTAGTTTTATCTCAAAGAAATCAAAAAGAGTAGCTTTAGAACAGTCTCTCAAAGTGTTTTAAGCAGGCTTTTCAATATTTGAGTCTATTCTATTACCAGTTAATTAACAAATTAGAAAGATAGTTCATCATTTCTGACCTTTTATGCACGTTAACTTTTGACTTTCATTCTTAATGATTGTTTTGAAATTAAGCCTTGCAGTTCGTGCTGAAAGAGAGAAACAATCTGATTAGCAAGGTAAATAAAGCTTGCCTTGGTACCAACCAAGTGCGTCTTAATGTTGGGCTGTAACTGGGATTCTGAATAGTCTAATGGTGCATCCTCTTCTGTCTTAAATAAGTAACACATAACTAATGGTCAGTAAATTCTACTGGATAATCATGTGGCATAAACGAGGAATTTAGGGGTGTTATTACAAGTGAGGTTAGATGTCACATGGTATCCAAACTGTGATTTCAATTAAACTTCATTTCTTATTAGTTCCCCGAACATTGGAATATGGTTTAAATGCATGTCCTTATCTCCTTTAAAAATATTTTTGAAATAATAGGAAGTCTGAAACTACATTTTACACCTGTGGTGTTTCAGTAACTCATGAGATATTACTAACCTTAACACAGATTTTCAGAAATTGGTATTCTATCTGGAGATGACGCTGTTTCTTTTTCTCCCCAGATAAAAATTATACACAAGAACCAAGCCCCAATGCTGATGGGCCCCCCTCCAAAAACTGGGTTGTTCTGCTCCCTCGTCAAAAGAACAAGAAACCGAAGCAAGGAATAATCCCGCCTGCCTCGTTTCCCTCTGAGAGATCTAATTAGCATAATTGGGCCATGGAACACTTAGGCTGGAAGTCTTTGAAACATTTCAAGTCTCCTGCTCATGCAAAATCATGGAATTGGTTTAACAGCTTTTGTTACTGAGCTAATGTAAAATTCAGCTATTAGAAAATGTATTGTCTCAGTTTCTATAGGCATCTTTGCATGAAGAAAGCAGAAGTTGACATGAAGTAATACTGCATATTTTTGTTGCATGCATTCCCATAGATTTTTA